TGTGTCTGTGACGGCTCGCCTTGTGTCAGTGACAGCTCACCATGTGTCAGTGACAGCTCACCATGTGTCAGTGACAGCTCACCTTGTGTCAGTGACAGCTCACCTTGTGTCAGTGACGGCTCACTTTGTGTCAGTGACGGCTCACCTTGTGTCAGTGACGGCTCACCATGTGTCAGTGACAGCTCACCATGTGTCAGTGACGGCTCACCATGTGTCAGTGACGGCTCACCCTGTGTCAGTGACAGCTCACCTTGTTTCAGTGGCGGCTCACCTTGTGTCAGTGACGGCTCACCTTGTGTCAGTGACGGTTCACCTTGTGTCATGTGTCAGTGACGGCTCACCTTGTGTCAGTGACGGATCGCCTTGTGTCAGTGACGGATCACCTTGTGTCAGTGACGGATCACCATGTGTCAGTGACGGCTCTCCATGTGTCAGAGACGGCTCACCTTTTGCCACGGATGGTGAATGTGTGAAACATACTTGAAACAAGGAGGGATAGTTTTCAGTGGGCACCGAGGGCTCAGTGTCGAGTTGTTGTGTCGAGTTGTGTCGAGTATAGCTCTGTCCCTGTACTCGGTGGTTTGTGCTGTGTGCTGTGTGTTGTGTGGTATGTGTGTTGTGTGGTATGTGCAGTGTGGTGTGTGGTGTGTGGTATGTGCAGTGTGGTGTGTGGTTGGGGACCAAGTTTCTCCACAACTGGCCGGCAGAGAGCAGCTTGTGACGTAGACAGTAACGTAGACAGTAGACATATCGTCCATTGTCCTGTGACGTAGACATGAGCCTGCCGTCCATCTTCACCGCACCCCAGCTAGTGCCGCAACACCCCCGCCCTCTGACGCCTTCACCAACGCCACCGCACCACCACCACAACCACCACCACAACAACAACCACCACCACAACTACCACCAGCAGCACCCATGTATTGTCCCCAGTCGGGCGATGGAAGAACCTGAGCTATCTACCACCACCAGACTCGAACTCGTGCACTTTGGCAACAAGTGTGTCATTGTGCCTACTATATTGGTGCACATCAAGGGTAAGATAAGCCCTCACACAAACAAACAAACATTAGATTAACCCTCACACAAACAAACACACACATTAGATAAACCTTCACATATAATCACCAGATATAGATCTATACAGTACTGTATTCTCTTGCCAAGAATTTACATTCGTTTTTTCGGAGTATATATGTACAGTACAGCTGAAAATTATACTCAGCGGAGAGTATGGCTATATGTGTTTGTATATATGATATATTTATATATATA